TAAATTGTTTTTTGTTCATTCAACCTTTGAAATCATTGCTTAGTTCCACTAGTTTGCACTTTTATAGCTCAAACACTTCATGCGACGTGCACAAGATCGAATCATCCTATTTACTTTTTCGCTTCATTGGTAAGTAGGAATTTTTTCCCAAGATCTGCAACGTTCTGGAACAGACTCTAGAGAGGATACTTACCCAATCACTAGAATGTAAACTTTTTCAAGTCTGGGCTGATCCGTTGTGAACTTTCAAAAATTTATTCACCAATTCTCTAATTTGAGTGACTCTAGGGCTTTTTATTAGCTAAACAACAGTAAAAGAAATATCCTTGTTATTTGGATAGTTTCCAATTTTGAAGCATTTTTTATCCATATTCCCGTGAACGTGATGGCCACAATAACATTGTATTTAACAGTGCCTCATTGATTAATTCCTGCTTTAGTTTCTGTTTACACATACGTAGTATTGGTTGGCAAGTTATAATCACGACTGTGCCATCGATTCCAGAAATACGTTAGGTCATAAATGATTTCCGTTTTGGTTTATCAACTACATTGTTAAAAAATCATGTAGAGCTGCATTTTATTCAATTATATATTTACCATTATTTGCAATGACTCGTTGCCACTTGTCAAAGAGTTTCTCCATACCTTTTAAATAAAATTCTGAAGGTTTTTTAATGTAAAAAAATCTCGATCATTTCTTGAATCTGGTTTATTACGAGAGAAAGCTTTTCCCCAAAAACTGTCAATGCATTTTCCAGCCACCAGAAAAGGTAATAATCAAAAATGGATTCAATAAAAAGTAATCAAAAATAATAAAAAATAACAAAAGAAAATAATAAAAAATATAATAAAAAATAATCATAAAAATAATCCAAGATAATAATTAATAAAATAATAGATAATAAAAATAAATATAATGAAAAATAATCATAAAAATAATCATAAAAATAATCATAAAAATAATCAATAAAGGTAATAATCAATAATCAAAAAATAATGAGAAAATAATCAACAATATAATGAAAATAGACATATATAAATGATAATAATAAAAAACAAAAACATTATCAAAAAAGATAATTGTTGGGTGAATATTGCAAGGGTGGAGGAGTGGAATAGATAAATGTTGTTTCTTTTCTACGTTACTCTTGCTGTATGCGGATATACGTTGTCATAAGAGAACAACATTTTCCCGATTAACAAGCACAGTACGCTTTTCGACCAAATATTTATAGACACGTTGCAGCTGTTGGATATATAAATGTGCATTTAGAGTTTCATTACCTTTTAAGATCTCAAAATAAACCGACTGTCTCATCAAAATCACATCGTTTTTTATTTTATTTTCATATATGGATTTCAGCTTTTCTGGTCGGTGTTGGAGATTTATCCTTGTCAATAAATTTTGTGTCGAACATTGTCCCTTGTAACCTATTTTTAATCATCATTTTACTGATATTTAAGAAACAGTTAGGATGACACGTTCGTCATTACAATTAGTTCCAAATAATGAGAATTTCTTATGGCTCAACTTAAACCCTTGTGCAAATTAATTGAAACAAAAAGAATAATTCCATTATTATTTACTTTTTTTCGTATCTTTCCAATGAAACACGACTCAGTGTACATGTAATACTTCGTATGTCCATTCCACGAAGTTCGTCCTGGGTATGACAATAAACTACATCCGCGTCCTGGGTAAGACGATAAACTACGTCCAACAGCAAGGCCTCTGATCAGGAGGTTTTGAGGTGCGTGGAACCACCTCTTAATTGCTGCTGTTCCCAGGTCCGCCCTCACCCGGTGTGGTAGCGCCTGTTAGGGTCCCAGCTATGAGCAAACAGTTAACACACAAACTTGTTAAAAATAGGTTTTAATACCAGAAATAGCTTCTAATAAAAAATATTGCCAGCAATAGTTTTTGAAGGAAAAATTATCAGCAATACTTTTAAAAAAATACCAGCAATACAAAGTTATATATTCTTCGAAAAAAAATATGACCAGCTATAGATTTCTTCAAGGAAAAATATTCCTAGAAATAGGTTTTTGAAGAAAAACATATTACCAGCAATAAAAATTTTCTCGACATTAAATAAACCATTCAGATTGACATGCTGTTAAACAAAACAAACCAAACCAAACCATTCCACAAAGTATTTCCTTGTAGATTAACCAAAGATTCTCGACTGGATGTAAATCAGGAAAGATTACGAACCAGTTGATAATACTTTGATTTGCTGACTAGTAAGGCCTACCATTGTGTTACAATTTCCGTACGCTTCCTTGGAGTAACGTCCATCGCAGACAATGGCCGTAGGACAACTAACCGACAGTCGAGACAATAGTGTCTGGGCCTGATGAAAATCTGAAGCAATCACGGATGGCGCATTATTTTCAAGGCTGAACATATTTCATCATAAAACACGAAAATAGATTCATAGTACTGCATACCACTGCAAATGACCTAGTCTGAGGAAAAAATAGAAATCGATTACACTCTGTCACTTCAGTGGGTCTAAAACTGACCGTATGGTGAAAAAAGGAAGCTAAATCAGCTGTTTCAATTAATTTGCATAAGTTACAATCATAAAGTAAGATAATCCAAGGATATTTTTTTTAATATTAAATATTGAACAATAGATTTATTTCAACATGGTTTCAGTTATACTTGTGCGTCGTTTATTGTTTATGGTAATTTTTACCATCAGGGGAAACAAAGTGTTTAATAAACGCCATGTTTTTATTGTTTTTTATATAAATTTTGTTATTTAAGTTGCTGTTATTTAAGTTATGTAACACAATGACGAAAATATGCGATGACGGTGCGTAAAAACGGCATTGATGGTTCAACTACTCAAAAAAGTGGACACCGATCTTTCTAATAAACATCGTTCTGAAAGACCACCTTCATTAAATAATTATCTTTTGAAGCATCAAAGTTGCAGATATAATGCACCCTCAGTATCTGACTATATTTCTGAGATGTGGTATTATGTACATTATTTACATTATTCGGACAATTGTCCTCATCTTTGTCGCCATAGTTATTACAACGTTTCAGTCGTTGTACGCTCCAGCCTTCTTCGCACCGTCTTCGCATATTTTCGTCATTGTGTTACATAACTTAAATAACAGCAACTTAAATAACAAAACGCTTTATCCACTGTGCCATGTGTCCTTGAGGACATCTGTGTATGAATTTCTGGGTATTATAAAGTTAATGTCTTCAGCAATCATTTTTTACTAGTGCTCATATTACAATTTTTGCTGTAATCATTTCATGTTTTTACCAGAGCTCATATTGCAATTTTTGTTCTTATCGCTTTTCTCTGGCACTCCTTATTACTGGTTCCCATATTGTATTAATTTTTATACTTGGTAGGCTCAGGAGATTTTTGTGGCCTAGCATATGTGCTGATTCTTTATGTTTACGAATTTTTCAATGGTGTTCTTTGTCTATGATCTCAACCTGATCCCACAGAGGGTTTAGTTCGACATTCCAACCACCTGAAGAAGGCCGGGCGTACAACGACCGAAACGTTGTAATAAATATGGCGACAAAGTTGAGGACAATAGTCCGAATAACGTAAATAATGCACCCTGTTCAACAAAACACGAACGACAACAGGAAAATGGAAGGAAATCTAAGGCCTTTTTTCTATACTAAGTTTTAAATAATCCAAGACTCGAGAGCAACTTAAGGTAGAAGGTTTCTAGATTAATGAGATGTGATATGAATGAGGGATGGGTGGTAAGAAGTGAAGATTATTTAGATAAAGTGGATAACGATTGACCCTTGACTTGAAGTGGCGAATATTGTAGTTTTCATGAAAGCAACCATACAAGTGACAGTTCTGGAGGCAAAGCTTTCTATGTAAAACGTCTTACATTTGGAATACGGAAGAAATGAGAGTGATTCGATTCCGCGGAAGTAAATGTAAATGTCTGAACTGGTGCTACTAAAGAATTATTCTCATCCGAACATTTGCCATGGAAATAGCGATAGACTTTCGAAGTTATATCTGTTTAAAGAAGAGAAGCCTAGTGGAAAATAAAGCATCCTCAAGAAGACAGTCTAAACGATTTTGAACCATGTCATCACCGGAAAATGAAGATTGTGCAGCCCCAGACAGCTATGGTAGCAATACTTTATTTTTGGTCCAATCTGCGAATTCCGCTTGTACTATACCACTGAGCAGCGACTAAACCAGCAGGCTTTTATGGTAAAAGGGAGTAGTGACATAACCAGCAGGATTAAAGCCAAAACAAGTCAAAGAGAGGATGAACGTTCCTGTGGGGTCAACAGCTATATAGCACAACAGGGTAGACTTGACTTCATATAGCCAATGCTCTGATAATATAGACGAAGGTATTATTTGCTTGAAGTCAACGGCTGGGGGAGAGATATTGCTTCGATGAAATCAATCGCCGCATATCAAGAACCAAAGCGAGCCTTCAAGTTGAAGGACATCGACTGTGGTTTGACCTAGAAAGAGATAGGCTCCACCAAATTTACTTATCCAAGAAACGCTCCTCATGAATGAATGAATAAATTTCCGGCTTCAGATCGGCAGAAGAAAGACGACCCTGTGACCACATTCTATAATGGGAGTGGTGATGATTATGTTGATTTTTATAAATGGATTTCACGGACGTATTTTTTGATAGTAATATATGTAAAAGCCAGTGATTATCACGATATTTCAAACTGATCGCGACACTGTAACCATGACCTCGTCCTTTGAAGGCTGTGGTTATCTACTGGAATATGACAGTTACTGGTCTCATATTATCGGGTTCTGGAGAAAACAGCCTTTCAAGTATTTATTGTTTATATCGTGTCGATGATGCATTACATAAGAGATGTACAAGAAAAAAGGACTTATCCTCTGACATGACAATGATAAAACCCGATAAATACAAAAATGAGATGTCTTTCGACTATCAAGAAAACATGAAATCTTCCGCCTCTCGACCGGGCGGGATTCCGAGACAAGAGATCTCGAGGCCGCCACGTGAGTTTGAGGTGTCGATGTTCACTGAGACCTGCAATTCGTATCAGTTCGCGCGGCTGTCTACGCTCTTCATCGAAGTACGAGTGATTTGTTTGATTTTCTTTTTCAAAAGTAAATTGTGTGTTTTTATGCATTCCATAAATTAAATGTGTGAAATAATTCTCAAAAAACACTTCCAGTCGAATGTTTTTTCTTTAACTGGATTAAAGTTAAAATAAAAATGAAAGTTGGTTTTCTATTTTTATAAAATATTTTTTCAGAACTGATCAGGAAGTCTTAACTTTGGAAATCCTGCATATAAATATACATTTTGCAAGTGCGGTCTGCTTTCTATGAGTTTAAGACAAAGACATTTAGCAGGTTTTCTTCCAGTCGACAGATGTTGAAAATAATATGGCAAAAAACTATGACAAGTAATGAAAATTTAAGTATTACTTTAACATCTACTGACGATATTCGTGGAAATCCTACGATTTTCCTGTTTTTCATTGAAATCCATAGTTTTGTGATCTTCTTACTCCATGCCATGTTAAAAGATTAAATGAACACTTTATAGCATAATTACAATTATATTATTTTTGTCTCCTTGATTTTTTCAAAAGCAGGACCAGCAATTCAATAATAATGGCAAGGCGTAACGGTCGTGTGAAATAACTAAGACCCTTCTTCCCCGGCATTCCTATCTTTCATATGCCTCGGCCCTTCAGAGCATAGACGAAGTTTTTCTTTCTTTAAGTCTCCCATTCAACCCTGCATAACTCTATTCTATTGGCGACTCGCTGCTTTCCTCTATCTTGTCCACAATACGCCCTGTGAGGATTACGTTTTCCAAGCCCTCTTTCCTCACTTTGTCCAAGGTAATTTACCTGTCTCTTCCTGCAAATCGCATCAGTTCTCGCGGCTGATCGCGCTCTTCATCGACGTACGAATGATTTGCGTGTTTTTCTTTTTCATAAATTGTGTTTTTACTTTAGCTGACATACCCAGTAAACATATTGTTTTTTTTACGTGTCGCAATCATTCAGAATCTTTCCTACAGCTAAAGACACGAGACATTAATTCAGGTTTAGCGATTTTTTACCATTAAGAAAAATGTTTAAAAAATTCATTCTGTCTGCCAAAAAAAAATGAAAATTGCTTATATGTCGGTAAAGAGTCTTTGCTAATAACGTTATCATTAGATTAATACCATTTACCATATTACGTTTGCGTTTATCTTGAGAATATGATATTGCTTTGCAAACCATCTAATATAGTAATTAGATTTGGTCACTTTATAATCATGACAGACACGCTCTCCAAATAGATAATTGGATTCGTATATAACGTCGCATTATTTATTACTATCGATAGATGTATGTTTCATTAAACTTTTAAAATATTTATATATTGGTCATTCTATCATAACACTTTCACGAAGGTTAACATTGCACTGATCGAACCAAAGTGTCATATTGCGCCAATATAAAGGGTGGTCCGAAAGTCTTGTCACCCACTACCAAAAAGTACTGAAAACAATAGAACTACAGTAATACAAAGCACATGTACTGGATTCAGTTTATTCACTTTTATTGACGCGGTCACACATCGAGAAGGTCTGTAGGAGCTCGTGTCAGTCATCTGGGTGACAAAACTTTCGGACCACCCTGCAGATGCATATATATATATTAGGAGTGGGTATTGATATGTAAATAGGAAAGTGAGACATCAGTTTAATCCAAAGAAGGGCCTGTAATGTAATCGATCCTGAACTGGCATCTTGGCGCCAGTCACTTTTTCATCGAAGTGTTGTGGTTTCCTCTGTCTTTTCTAAAAATATTTTCATGGTAATTGTTTTGATTAGCTTTCCTCTTTGGTGCCATCAGTGGAGTTAAACGTACGACTAGACTGGCAAATTAGGTCTCATCGTTTTACTGTTGAATTAGCTACATATAAACGTATGTTCTGTTCTAATAGCTTCTTTAACGACATCTGTAGAACTCCCTTCCTTTCCTGACATCTGTAATGAACAAAAATTCAAATGCCGCGCCAATCGCCATATTCTGAATTCTTTATACCCGTTATTTTATTGTGCTTTCTCTTAACTATAGTATTCTCATGCACTTTTACACCCGGTAATCTCTCACGTCTTAGTGATATTATTGCTTTCTTTGGGGTAAAATGATTAAAAATTATTAACATTTATTATAATGTTTTCTTCAATAAACGCATTTATCATTTGAACTTTAAAAAGTATAACAAATACTTTATACCACTGCTTAAAATTGATTCTTTTAAATGTTTAATATAAAAAGTTTTTCAAACAAAAAAAATACAGTTTTATTCTTAAACTAGCAGCCATACACAGCTGATTCATCAGAAAAAAGCGTTCAATTAGAATGGAGCAAAAACAGCACCATGTTTAGATGTAACTGAGTCTATATTCTTCAATTACTATTAAGTACTTTCATTAAAAAAAATGAATGAATGCACTTACTGATATAACAGAAGTAGTCTCTATTTATTTAGTGGAAGTTAACCGAGGGCCTTGATTTTAGATAGTGGGGTCAGCATGGTACAATCTGGGATATAAGTAAGTTTCTTGCTTGATTGGAAATATACAGAAATCCGTTTCCTTGATACGGCGCTGTATATAAGATTACAGAACCAAAATACATCTTTACTCTGTCATCACCAGAATACAATAGGAATGGCAAAGCGCAATGGTCTAGCAAACTAATTAACGAAGGGGGGGAGCAGGTTTTTGATTTTAATTTTCTGATTAATCTCAATTATTAGGTTAATGATTAAAGATGCTCAAGGTAAATTAAACGATAATAACACCTGTAGAAATCCCTTATCGCATCGTTAAATATTTGAGCTTAACAACTTTAACAAAATACTGCATTGACAATCATAAATATGAATGCTGGTTATTATTTAAAGAAGTAAGGGGATTCAAATGAAAAGATTTGAAATTGGCAAATGTTTCCATCTCAGTGAAGTTTAAACAATTCTGTCTTCCCTCGCTATCAAAATAGAATAGTCCGTTATTTATGGGGTAGTGACAGAAGACGTTAAACACATCTATCTTCTCTGCTTTCTTTCTTTCATTTTCTCACTGAAAACAAGGGGCATCTCTGATATGTCTTTTCCGTGTTTTCGCACGGTCAAAATGGAATAGTCCATTATTTATGAGGTATTGCCAGGATGCACAGGTGCGAACTAACTAAGGAACTATCTAACAAGCAGAATTATAATAGAGATTTTGTTAATCATTTCAACCCAAACAAGGCGATAATGCCACTAAGACGCAGATAGTCTCAGGGGTGGAAGAACAAGACGTTAGCGAGAAGTGAAGAAAGGTCGATAAAGGAACACGTTTCAGGAAGACAGGTGATGTTATCATTATTTATCGTTCAGGATCTCTGGGTCTTAGGCACATATATTTAAGCAATTTTTGTTTTCCAATATTACCCCAGAAACTTTGGAATCCTTCTTTGGATTTAATTTTATCACTAGGTAACTTTAGACCTATCCATTGCCTAACCTATTCAGTATGATTTAAATCCGGACATAGCGCTGGTCAATCTATGGTGTACAATAATCTTCACTTTTATTCATCTGCAAAATGAATTCTACCCTGTGTTTATCTTCTTAATAGAAAAGACGGCGGCCAATAAATCGAATGCCATTTTGTATCGTAACTTTAATATGGTTATACTGGATACTGTTTATAATACTATTGATCGAATCTCCGACGCAGAAAAACAAATCGTAACATTGCCTCCATCATGATTAATAAATTGAATAACGTACTGTAGATAATATTCTGCCTTTCTGTTCCTCACCCACAGCCTTCGATTATAAACAAAGATCAAATTTGGTATCTTGCGTCCAGAGAATTTTTTTACGCCTGCCCTGTGATTCATTGGCTTTATATCCTAATAAACCTTCGCCATTATTTTACGTCCCTTCTCTTAAAGAAAGCTTTTTGTTGGCTACAGCTCTTCCAGATAATCTATATTTTAAGTATTTATTCAGTTTCAAATCTTCCTTAAGTGAATTTAACGAACCCAACCGATTTCTTACTCCGAACCGTTAATTGTTTAGTATTGACATACTTTAATCAATCCACCCCTAGCATGGCGTTAATGCCATTAAGATACAAGCGATTACTTAGAGTGATGGACAATGAGAAGACTTTAAAATGAACCGGAAATCATACTCCTAAACAGAAAACAAGTGATAAAACATTACTCCTGATCGAAGAGCCGGAGAGTAGTGTGAACCGGACAATAGGCAAATCTATCTACTCCTATTAATATACAAGGTGTATCTAAAATAATTTTACAAATTTTGGGGGCGGGTTCCTCACAGCAAAACAAGGATAAAAGCCCATATATACACATCCATCGTTTTGATTTATTAAGTTTAAAGTTTACGGTAGACGCTGTTTAATGTACAATCAGTCTTTCTCGATCCATATTTTGTGGTATCTTAGCAACGCGACGATAAACAGCAGCAAATGTCGGATTACTTGGTTGCCTTTGTTCTAGAAACGCAATCTAATACAGCCGTGCAGCCTCAGGTCCATTACCGTTCGCGCGGCCGTATCTAAAATTCATATCTGCCTGCTCATGATATGAATATCCTGTCATTGTTAAACGGAACACTTCTCAGTTATCTCACTGCTAAACATGTTCAACGTTGAAAACAGACTAGCCACAAACGTACACGAATGACAAATGTAACCAGGTCTATATGGCAATACAACGCTATCTATCGTAAACTTACTTTAAATTTATTTTGGTGTGAGGAACCCAACCTCCAAACTTTGTAAAAGTATTTTTGATACACCACACACACACACACACACACACACACACACACACACACACACACATAGATAGATAGATAGATAGATAGATAGATAGATAGATAGATAGCAATACTTTTCATAAACATTTGGGCAGACATTTTTCTTCTATTCACAAGTTAAAAAAAGGAAAAAGTTCTATTGCAGTTAACATGACGTGGAATTAATTTAGTTATGGTTTGTGATTTACAATGTTATATTTCTTGAAAAATATTTTATTTTAGTT